CTGTGTCAACTCATGAATGATGGACAAAAAGGACACACAGCAATTGACTGCAGGACACGCATGAATGAAATTTCAGAGGCCAATTTACATATTTAGTAATCAACATCGTCAATAAAATAATATATCTAAAAAAGTGCCTCCATGTGTGAAATACATTTGTATATGATGTGCAATGACATAACGTTAATTGATATTGTAGTGAATATTAAAAAAAACGATGTTCCTGTAAAAACAGTGCTTAATTAAAATATCCCTTTATTTTATGATTTATTTAGGATATATAAAGTTTGCAGCATTTCTGTAGAGATGCCTGCAATATGCATAGCATCTCACAACTATGCGGATAAATCGGCAGTGTCCGTGTTACGAGAATGGCATTCTGCTGCAGGTTTTATGGCTACAATGACGTTTTGAGGCTAAGTGCTTTCTGAAATTGCTGCGAGGCTTGACACGTGATTTTCATAACCTTTTCTCTGTTGACTTATTTATTTAGATTTGAAGTTTTCGTGACTGCAGGGATCCATACTCTTTGGTTCTTTCGGTAAAGTCACGTAGGTATAAAAAAAAATGAATAAAATCACGACGTTTTGAGAGCAACACAAGCGTCCGTCAGCAGGTGGGACAACCACAGCAAGAAATAATTGCTGAAGTGGGCAAAATAGCTGCTGCAAGAAAAAGGATATATAGGCAAGAGAAGGGGGAGATGAGCCAGGTAGGAGAGATAGGGAGGGTGGGGGTGTGGGGTAGGGGGAGTGGAGGCAACAAGTAAGACACAAGCACGGCAAAAAATGCCAGGGTGGGGAAGGGAAGTGGGTGTGGCTGGGAGTGGGAGGGTTAGGAAACTGGAGATGCGGATATGAAGGCAGGCCAAAAGCAGTTATGGTTTTACCTGGTTAATAACATCCTTCCAATGATTGCTCAATCTGTATCCATCTTCCCGGTTGAAGTTATGTCTATGATTATATATCTGGATGGCTTCATGAACAAACCTTTGATAGTAGCCCGAAGGTTTGCAGAGCACCTTGGTCTCGGAAAAAAACAATATCATGAGAGCCCACAGCGTAATAGCAATGGTCAGCCACGGCGGAGGTATTATTAAATCAAGATTTAGTCCAACATGGACTGAACCCTGATGTTCCTACGCTGGTTAGGCACTGCCTTACCAACACTTACTTCACCTGGAATTGTACTTTCTACAAACAAAATGAAGGTACCCCCATGGGTCCCCCCTTATCACCAGTGATAGCGAATGTATTCATGGAGAAATTTGAAACAGATGCCATCCAGACATCCACCCTACTTCCTTCCTTGTGGAAGAGATATGTGGATGACACTTTCGTTATTTGGCCACATGGCCTGCCAGCATTACTCCAATTTCTCAACCACATTAATTCCATACACCCATCCATCAAATTCACCATGGAAGTGGAGAAGGATGGCAGGCTACCATTCCTGTATGTTTTGTTTGAGAAGAGACCTGATTGCTCTTTGGGACACTCTGTCTACAGGAAAGCCACCCACACAGATTCCTATCTAAAACCTGATTCCCACCACCATCCGGCACAGAAGGATTCCCTCATCAAAACACTACACCATAGGGCCCACTGCATTTCTGACCAACACCACCTAGCCAGTGAACTGAAACATGTACATCAGGCCCTCAAGATGAATGGATATTCGGACCGCACTATCCACAAAGCTGTTTCTCCAACCATGGAGAAACAACCCCCTGAGACGCCAATCAAAACCATCACGTTACCATACATAGCAGGCGTTACCAAAAAGATTTCCAAAATCTTAAACAAACACAAGATCCAGGTCCGATTCAGTACAGTACACAAAATCCGTGATCTAATCCCATCTGTGAAGGATGTCATTCCTGACATGCAATATCCTGGAGTCTACAAACTAAGTTGCACCTGTGGTGATTGTTACATTGGGGAAAGGAAACGTCATGTCTCGGACCGTGTTCGCGAGCACAAGGCAGATCTGAAACACGGCAGAACTAATACCTCCGCCGTGGCTGACCATTGCTCAAACGCTGTGGGCTCTCATGATTTTGTTATTTCCGAGACCAAGGTGCTCTGCAAACCTTCGGGCTACTATCAAAGGTTTGTTCATGAAGCCATCCAGATATATAAACGTAGACATAACTTCAACCGGGAAGATGGATACAGATTGAGCAATCATTGGAAGGATGTTATTAACCAGGTAAAACCATAACTGCTTTTGGCTTGCCTTCATATCCGCATCTCCAGTTTCCTAACCGTCCCACTCCCAGTCCCGCCCACTTCTCCTCCCCACCCCGGCATTTTTTGCCATGCTTGTGTCTTACTTGTAGCCTCCACTCCCCCTACCCCACACCCCCACCTTCCCTGTCTCTCCTCCCTGGCTCCCCCCCCCCTTCTCTTGCCTATATGGCCTCTTGTTGCAGCAGGTCTTTTGCCCACTTCAGCAATTTTTTCTTGCTGTGGTTGTCCCACCTGATGACGGAGCTTGTGTTGTGCCCGAAACGTCGTGATTTAATTTATTTTATTTTATACCTACGTGACTTTACCGAAAGAACCAAAGAGTACTTATTTATTCGTTTGTATTTTGGACGTTTTCTGGCAGTCTTTGCTTCGTGCACTTCGTGGGACAATTTTCTCTGCACCGCTTCGTCTCTCTGCATGATAGTTTGTAGCGGTAGCACTGCAGCAGCGAGATCCCAGGCAGCTGAGTGTCTTCGGCCTTCGGGCAATATTGTCTGTTCATATCACATTGTAATCAACAAATCCGTCCTAACCTCCTTCATATTTTCGTGGCAGCCCAGTGCGTTTGTGCCCAGCAGCTCTCACCTGCAGCTGATGGGGGTCACATTGCTGTTTGTTTACATTAAAAAAAAACCTCCATGGGCAGCATCAAAACCGTGAGCAAGCGACGTGAAAACTGACTGGAATATTAAGCAGCTTTGCGGGAGCCGGTGATGTCTGAGGCCAAGTTAGAGTGTTTGCACTATCTAAAAAATATATCAGCTGGACACACTCTCATTTCATTCATCCACGAGTCATCAGAGCTTCATAAAAGTGCAACTGATTTTAACGCGTGTTAGTCCAGTGAGAAAATGGGATGTTGAAACGCAAAGAATGGTTAAAAACGGCGGCTGTTAGGGCGTCATTTGCAAGGTAATTGATGTCACATTTGTTTTGCACGAAACTAACATGGAAATATATAATTGCAAAACTAGTTATGGAAAGGGGATTTGCATTCGTGAGTAATAATATTTTGTTACTGTAAAATGTTATTGTGAACCACGACATTAATTATATATTGTTTTTCTTTGCAAGCCGCTGTGTGCATGCTGTACTGCACCTTTACTTTTGTAATCTTTGATGACGCAGCATCGGCCAAGCTAATTAAAATGGAAATTAGCATCTTGCCATTAACCTGAAAGTGCTTTTGTATGGCACATCAGGCACGATCTCCCGGCCCCACTCCCGCCTCTGGGATTGCAGTGCAGCTATGTGGACCCGACACCTCATCTCCCTCCCTGTTCCCTTTTAAATCTGACATCGGAAGCTGATCAACAGCGAGTGCTACATTTGGCTGTGATATATCTTCAACATTGGATAGTACTTTAACGACCACCTGCCCCCCACAGCAAAATGCGGTTTCCTTTTGGAATGAGGTCATAATGCCAGGTGCTCTTGTGTATCACAACTAGAGCAGATTCTAAGCATATGTCAATATATAAAGAGTAGACGTTTTATTGGAATGTTTTTTTCGGCCGTTTTTCTTTATTTCGCAAATGTCAGCTATTATAATCAGTGTAAAGGGCCGTGTTATGTGTCAAGAGAAAGGCAAGAGATACCAGCTGATAATCTACCACTTATTTAGATACAGACTGAAGGGGAATGCTTTGTTGCTCCACTTACAATGCATCTGCCACTGTTATCCACCGTGACAGAGAGGCAGACTGCCCACTGATGGCTGTGGCAGAGAGCACAGCCGTCGTGATGGGCGACTAGCTGTGTGGCACTGAGGGGCTCCCGAGTGAACTGATGACAGATCGGGATTGTAATAACCAGCCTGAGCCATCGCTCAAAGGCGCACATCTGCTGCGCTCTTTCATAATCATGAACTTTTATTTTTAAACGCCCTCACAGATGGCACCGCAGCACATCAGCAAGTGCGAAACTTTAAAAATGCTTTTCGAAATGTTGACTCCACGTAAATAAAGCTCTGTAATTATGTTTAATGTAGGGTTATTTATTTATTTCGAAGCCCCAATTAATTACCAGCAATTTTCAAAAGCAAAGTCAGAAAAATGGCGGCGACGCTGTTATCAACACATGTTAAGCCTGACCACAAAGCTTTTTGCAAGCAAATTGGTTCTTTGTTGGCTACCATCAAATGTACATTTGAACAAAAACTAATTTCAATGAGTTGCTCATTGGTTAAACTGACATATTCCGAGGGTACTTTAATCCTGAGCTGCACTCTTAACGCTGTCATTCAGTCGTCCATTACCATATGATTGTTTGACATCAAATCCCAGGAGTGCCACGTGTTTGTTTTGAGCAGTACGTGCGACGATGACTGTTTATTGTGTGTGAGGCATGCAAACACTGCCTATGAATGACATGTGGGCTTTGAAAACAAAGTATGGCATGTACCGTATGTTTATAAACCTCTGAATATGAGACAGACATATGCCATATACCATTAAATATACACCATGATGTATACCATTGCCTGAATATTTATATCTGCCATTGTAAATTCGCAAGATTTTTTTGAGCCGATAATTATATTCAATTTCACATGCCACTCATTAGCTTTAAAGGATGTCCTGTTGACATGACAATATTTATGATTGATTACAGCTGTCATGATATGTCTTGTGACTCTATGCCAATTAGAGCTTATTCTAAGTGTTTGACTACGAGCGGTCGCTTCTGGTTTTAATGAATGAGCCATGACTTTGCACAGTTTGTCTTTCATTTTATTCTCCTTTGTAGAACCAAGCAGAGGCACACTACAACGGCAGCAAGCACTGCAAGAAGCTTAAAGCTCTGGAGGCCCTGAAGGCCAGACAGAGTACAGGTGTTACCTCTGACCTTGGCAGCCCATCCACCTCCTCCACATCTCTCTCCTCATCCAGTTTCACCATGGCATCCACCACCACCCTTTCAAACAGCTCTGAGCACAAAGGTTGGTGGAACCCAACCATCTCGGAACGTATACATTGCCTCGTCAGATATACACACCTAATGAAATCCAACTTTGTGCGATGCAGAGTTTTTTTGTTGAAAATGTTCATTACCATCATCAGCCAGCCATGATGTATGTGTCCAGTGCTGGATGCAGTCTTCCCCAAATAGTCACCATCCTTCATGGTCCTACGATGCCACGATCCATATCACATCTGTCCATGAGCTTATCTCATCCCAATCTCCATGGGTGCTGTCCTCATGGGCATGTGTACACCTTTGGCTGCCATTCCATAGCCAGTCTGGACCATCCGCCATCATCTCTTTTATTGATGTGTCCCATCCAAGCCCATTTACTTCCATTGGCAGTTGTTATAACAGCGAATGAGAATTAACTACAGGAATTAATTGATAAACTTAACAAAGAAGGTGGTAATGTTTGACTCAAGATAAATATGAGCATAAGAAGTAATTTACAAGTAAACTCAAACAAAAAAACCGTTGGCGGGATGTTACTGTACAACACAGCAGGCGCGTGAACCTAGATCAATTATTGAAGGCAGAATAGAATGAAACAGAGGCAAGCAAAACCAGGTTGGAGTGCGTTTAGAATATTGAGCATAATGCAGTCATGAAAAGCAACATACCAGTGTGCCTAAAGGAGAAGTTTTCAGTCAGTGCATGTTAACTGGCGATGAAATAAAAACGTTGACACAATAAAAATGGAGAGAAAAAAACTGTCTGAAAAGTGTGCAATGAAGCTTGGGGAGGTGGAAGATAGAAAGAGAAACACGTGGATCAGACAAACGTAAAAGATAGACATCGTATTCACCATGAAAAAAAAGTCTCTCATATACGTGGGTCACTAAATAAGCGAGTATTTTTTTGTTACAAGGATAAAGAGGTGCTCTGGCGAAACGCAAGACTTGCAATAAAAAGACGAAGTTAACATTCGGTCAACACAGCACAGTATTTGATAAGGTAGATAAATTTAGTACCACTTTGCTTTAAATCAGCAGTACCCAGCCTATGTAGACACCAGCTGAGTCCACAATAAATGTGCAATGACTCCCACTGTTCCAGGGCCACTAATGAAGGGGAGATGCCACCGCTGTGCTTGCTTGGAAATGTTTTGCAGTGAATGAAATATAGACAGGACTTACATTTTAGTAGGCAAAGGTTGTGTTTAATGCCAGTGTCAATAACTGAAGGAAATCGCTCCACAGTAAGCGTCTGTAGATGCACAATACAAGAGGGATTCCGTTGAAGTGTCTGTATGTTCGGGCGTGTGAATCCGTTGCGTGCGGTGCTCCCTCTCCTCCCTGTCCGCGCGCGTCCTTCAGGATGTCACAGCGAATGCACGAGTTCCAGCACCCCAGGGTGCGAAGGAGCACAGCAGGGGGGGCGTGAGCGCAGCCCCGTGCCCCAGCAGCCAAACAGCGAGGGAGCAGCTGGCGCCGCCACATGCCTCGGTGCTGCTCCCGCTTCAGCCATCGTGGAGTCGGACGAGGAGAAGGCCAAGCGCCTGCTGTACTGCACCATCTGCAAGGTGGCCGTCAACTCGCAGTCTCAACTGGACGCTCACAACAATGGTGAGGCCTCCTTGCACGTACCTTAGCTTACCTTACACCAAGGCCGTAGCCATGGAGTCAACATTGGGGGGGACCAAATCTTCCAGGGTGTCTGGGGGTCCCAACCCAGAAAAAAATCTAAATTTGAAAACTAATTTCCTGCCTAAAATAATAAAGTATTCACTAACACACGGGATGGACTTTTATTTTTACAATAATGTCTAATAGTGTATTGTATTTTTTTTACCATTTCTTGTTTCATTGTATGTACAGTAAAGGAAAAAAGTATTTGATCCCCTGCTGATTTTGTACGTTTGCCCACTGACAAAGAAATGATCAGTCTATAATTTTAATGGTAGGTTTATTTGAACAGTGAGAGACAGAATAACAACAAAAAAATCCAGAAAAACGCATGACAAAAATGTTATAAATTGATTTGCATTTTAATGAGGGAAATAAGTATTTGACCCCTCTGCAAAACATGACTTAGAACTTGGTGGCAAAATCTTTGTTGGCAATCACAGAGGTCAGACGTTTCTTGTAGTTGGCCACCAGGTTTGCACACATCTCAGGAGGGATTTTGTCCCACTCCTCTTTGCAGATCTTCTCCAAGTCATTAAGGTTTCGAGGCTGACGTTTGGCAACTCGAACCTTCAGCTCCCTCCACAGATTTTCTATGGGATTAAGGTCTGGAGACTGGCTAGGCCACTCCAGGACCTTAATGTGCCTCTTCTTGACCCACTCCTTTGTTGCCTTGGCCGTGTGTTTTGGGTCATTGTCATGCTGGAATACCCATCCACGACCCATTTTCAATGCCCTGGCTGAGGGAAGGAGGTTCTCACCCAAGATTTGACGGTACATGGCCCCGTCCATCGTCCCTTTGATGCGGTGAAGTTGTCCTGTCCCCTTAGCAGAAAACACCCCCAAAGCATAATGTTTCCACCTCCATGTTTGACGGTGGGGATGGTGTTCTTGGGGTCATAGGCAGCATTCCTCCTCCAAACACGGCGAGTTGATGCCAAAGAGCTCCATTTTGGTCTCATCTGACCACAATACTTTCACCCAATTGTCCTCTGAATCATTCAGATGTTCATTGGCAAACTTCAGATGGGCATGTATATGTGCTTTCTTGAGCAGGGGGACCTTGCGGGCGCTGCAGGATTTCAGTCCTTCATGGCATAGTGTGTTACCAATTGTTTTCTTGGTGACTATGGTCCCAGCTGCCTTGAGATCATTGACAAGATCCTCCCGTGTAGTTCTGGGCTGATTCCTCACCGTTCTCATGATCATTGCAACTCCACGAGGTGAGATCTTGCATGGAGCCCCAGGCCAAGGGAGACTGACAGTTCTTTTGTGTTTCTTCCATTTGCAAATAATCGCACCAACTGTTGTCATCTTCTCACCAAGCTGCTTGGCAATGGTCGTGTAGCCCATTCCAGCCTTGTGTAGGTCTACAATCTTGTCCCTGGCATCCTTGGAGAGCTCTTTGGTATTGGCCATGGTGGAGAGTTTGGAATCTGATTGATTGATTGCTTCTTTGGACAAGTGTATTTTATACAGGTAACAAGCTGAGATTAGGAGCACTCCCTTTAAGAGTGTGCTCCTAATCTCAGCTCGTTACCTGTATAAAAGACACCTGGGAGCCAGAAATCTTTCTGATTGAGAGGGGGTCAAATACTTATTTCCCTCATTAAAATGAAATCAATGTATAACATTTTTGACATGCGTTTTTCTGGATTTTTTTGTTGTTATTCTGTCTCTCACTGTTAAAATAAACCTACCATTACAATTATAGACTGATCATTTATTTGTCAGTGGGCAAACGTACAAAATCAGCAGGGGATCAAATACTTTTTTCCCTCACTGTAATGGCAGAGATTAGGGTTTAATAAAGTACAACCACAATCATACACATAAATCTATGCATTGATTTATATGAAGACATGTCCAGATATTGTGGCCAAGATTTAGCAAATTGTTGTTTTTATTTACATAGCATAGCAATTATTATTTTTATAGCAATATATTGGGGGGGGGGACATTTTGAGCATATCTATAATTACGGCCTTGCCTTACACCAAGGCAGGCACTTTACAGCAATGATACAATTGTACAAGAAAAGGCAGTGGTTGAGATAAAGAGTGAGGCTTTTAAAAGTTGTCGTGTAGTTCCGGCGACAGGAGGACAGTTATGAATGGTTAAGGAGGGCTTCGGATAGACCTGTTTTTAAGGGAAGAGCGGAAGCTGCTTTGAGTTAAGATGATTGTTTTATGTGCAGTCGGGATCTGCATTGGCACACCTCCGATTAGCACGGTTGGCTACATATGGTGCAAAATTCAACATACATACATAAACTAAATGAACAAGCTTATTCTGTGTACGACATACTGAAAGTATATATGTACTAGCCTTCTGCCCGTCCTAGGACGGAAGCTGTAATGTTAAAGATGTACATTGAAGTTTTCTTGTGTGATTGTAAATTTTTTGAGGAATTGTTGCACGTAAATACAGTTTTCTTAACTTAAAAAATGAATTTTGATTTAAAGCTTTCGTGACTGCAGTAATTCATATTCTTAGTTTTTTCGGTAAAGTCACGTTGAAGTAATAAAATATATAAAACAATAAAAAAATTCTCACGACGTTTCGACCATAACTCAAACGGTCGTCTTCAGGTGTGTTGGTTCACATAAATTTATTTTTAAACGGCGCATTTATTTATTTATAAAAAAACGTTAGCGCCACGCGCAACGATTTGGCAGTTTACCCAGGACTAGTCCATCTATATTCTGAAAAGAGGAGGGAGGAGACGAAATTTTGTATAATGTATGCTGTCTGAAAGCCACTGTAAGCGTGAACAATCAATTAAGACCTGAAATGGTTTATCAAATCTTTCCAATGATTGCTAAGATAGAATCCATCTTCTCGGTTGAAATTGTCTCTGTGCTTGTATATGTGGATAGCCTCATGAACGAATCTCTCATGGAAGCCAGATGGCTTACAAAGAACCTCTGTCTTGGAAAAGTCAATGGCATGTGAGCCTACTAAAAGATGTGATTCCGGACATACAATACCCTGGTGTCTACAAACTAAGTTGCCTCTGTGGTAGTAGTTACATTGGAGAAACCAAACGCCATGTCTCGGACCGCATTCGTGAACACAAAGCAGACCTTAAACACGGTAGGACCAACACCTCGGCCGTGGCAGATCATTGTTCTAATTCAGTAGGCTCACATGTAAGATTTCACAGCAGCATGATGATAATGCCTGTCTTCAGTGCCAATGTGTGTGGCGGGATTCCTGAAGGCGTTTGATCGTGAAGAAATTCTGGAGGGCAATTCAATGCGTCAGCAGGATCTTCCGACACGATCGAGTCAGAGTTGTTCTTCTGCTTTCGCTCGCTGGGGTTGTATTCAATTTGAATTCGATACAATATCTGGAAAATCACGGAGAAATTTAGATATTTGATCATAATTTAGAAGCAAAAATGAGACTTACCTTTTGTTTCAGGTGCTGAAGAAATAAATAAAGACACCAAAAACACTTTGTTGCTGCGTATAATTATTTATCTGATTATTATTTTTCAATAAAGGAACGTCAAATTAAAAGCAATTTTGCGTAAAAATATTTATTTCCGCTCGACCTTCTGCGGGAGTGTAAAAATCCACCCGCTCATGATTATGAATGACGGGGGGGCCTCTTTTTCATTAACGTCACGTATGGATGTAGCAATGTGCTACGTATATTTATTTTTTACTGTCACTTTCTGTAAAGAAACTTGATATTTGAAGCGACTTTGCATAATAAATTATTTTATTTAGCTCGACCTTCCTCTGCGTTAGTGTAAAAATCCACCCACTGAGGGGGGGTGGGCCTCATGTGGAGTGACGTCACGCAGGGGGGTGGGACTAATGTGGACTCACGTCATGCACGGGACACACATTCTTGGCTTATTAATATTTGTTATCACTTTTCGAAGAATTTATATCATGTCATAAAATTATTATCATTTTTTAAAATAGTGTTTCCTCAAAAAACTGAAGTGAAAAAAGTTGCTGCTTAATCGTGAACAGATGTAACTTTTAATAATAGGGTTTTTCCCCTTTTTTCTGGCAACAAAACTGAAACCTTTTTACAAGGATTCATGTCTGCATTAACCACAATACCTGCAGTCAAAATGCAAACAAAAACATACTATGATAATATATGATGCATTGTCCTTGAAACTGATTGGTCCACACCAAGGGACGGCTTTCTTTTGAGCCTCGACCCAATTGGTGCTCGACCAAATCTGGTATGTTTTTTGTTTGGATTTTGACTGCAAGTATTGTGGTTAATGCAGACATGAATCCTTGTAAAAAGGTTTCAGTTTTGTTGCCAGAAAAAAAAGGGGAAAAACTCTATTATTACATTTTGGTACTGGCAAAGAAGGTCTAATAATGTAGATGTAACTTTGTTGAGAAAAACCGTCCAAAAGAATAATTCAAGCTCTCTGTGTTACTGTGACCTTGAGAGATAGTATTTAATGGAGAATGAAAAATAACACTCACTCATGTTGGGTTTAATTTATGAAAGATCAAAGCGTGCACCTGTGATTGTCAGTGTAACCAGCAGCCACGTATGTGAGCTAAACATGCAACATTGTAAAAATCTAGATTCCTTTTAGGTCGGTTTGTTTTCATACGGGTTTAGTGCTAATACTTACGTGATCCGAGGGTAGAAACACTCACGTGATCCAAGGTTACAGTGTCAGGGTGACGCCATGAGAAAAAGGACAGAGAGAATGCCCTGAGAGAGAGGTGACGTCACCGGGAGAGGCGGGGTGATCGGGTTGCTTCTTGGAGGGAATCGGAGTAGGGTGGATGCGTGCAGCGTGAGCTTGCGAGAAATAAAAAAAAGTGTGACCCCTCTGGCTTCGTCTGGTGGACTCACTACAACTGATGGCAGCGGTAGGATCACACAATGACTTGACACGGTAACATAAAAGACCCCAATAGAGACCCCGGCGAAGAAGGGAAGGAACGTGCCTCTACTCCCAGCGCGGATGGCCGTGATCCGGAGACAGCATGGTCTGCAAACTGGGTCGGAACAGCCCCCCCAACCATGAGAAGATGGCAGAAAGCAAGGAGCGACATGTCCGAGAACCCTCGACCCCGCGCGAGGAGGAAGCCCTGGGCGGATTGGGACGACCAACTTACAACACTCTACTCAATACTCCTGCAAGAGCTGCGGGAGGACAGGGTGGCTGCTAGCCCGGCGGCGGCAACACTCCCTTAGCGTCCGCAGCGGTTTCTCCTCTCGTCCAAGCGGGAAGCCCTACTACAGGGAAGTTGCAGGCAACAGCGACGGCCGGGGTGGTCGCCGCTCAGGACAGACCGCTGGAGACGATGGTGTCGGAGATGGAGGAGCCAGCACCACTGACAGGTGAGGGTGTGGCACCACGACCGATGGGCTCCATCCTCACCGAGCCAGGGGTCAATTGGAGGCTACATGATCGCCACTGATAGCGCTGGAACCACAAAGAGACAGGGAAGGATTTCCTCAGGAGGGGGTAGAATCACTGTTAGTGGGGCCGACACCGCTAGTCACCATCGGAGCAGAAATAGCATGAAATCCCCTACGCCCAGCGGTAGTGGCTGCTCCGAGCTTTAGCGGCAGAGCGCTGGAGCCACGTGAGGAGGCGCTGTACAACGGTCAGATGCACGTGGTAGCCGCAGCCCAGGCCGCCAAGTTTATTCCACCCAGGGAATCAGAACCACAACAAGGAGAGGGCGCCGATCGACCACGCAGGTAGGCCACGTTGAAAAGTATGTGACTAAAGGAGGACACTGGGGAGCATTTGTTCGCCGATTCGAGGCGGCGTACACCTATTTAAAATGGAAGGAGCATGAGGCACTAAAGGCTTTCCTCATGGCCCTTAGCGATGATGCTTTAATTATTTATTCCACCATACTGGTGGAGAATAAGAACACCCTGCAAAAGGTTATCGAAAAATGTCAGATTTTTGAGCCGTCATCCAGCGCTAAAAGACGATTCCAGAGAATCAGCTTTGGCCTACAGAAGTGCTCTCATGTCCCTAGTACAAGCTGCTTTCCCAGGCCTATTGCGAGGGCCCTGGAATTTATGGTAGCTGACCATGCTAGTGCTAGCACAGGCTTTGACAATAGTTGTTCCAGTTACAGATGAAGACAAGCAGACCTTCTTGTGGATTGCAAAGAGCATAGGAGCCCATGACGGGGTGATGAGACCGCAACGTAAATTGGCGGAACCATCACCTCAACAAGAACCGGAGGGGGTTCGGGGAATACGGAACATGGGGGAAGATGATGAAGCAGAGATGGACACCGGGCTGCCTGGGGGAGGGATGTTGGTGGCTGTAAGGGGGACATTTCGGAGACCTACCCAAAAGACACATCGTTGAATACCCCAGGGACTCGGAGCATCCAGCCGGACCCGAAACCCAGTGACCTGTCACTGATGTGGCCACGCAGGCCACATTGCACACAGGTACCGCACGGATGCTGCTCTACCAGAGCCACCCTCGCGCCAACAGCCACTTTCCACTCCTACATACAACCAGCAGGCAAGTCGTGGCATCCCGAATACCATGGCAGTTCCCATCTCAGACCTCCCATACGTTCCCACAGTCGATACACCTGCCACTTCCCGACGATCACAACCACCCCCGTGCATACGCGATTTGTCACAATGGTGGCTGGCTTCAGGCCCACAATGGTGCAAGTTGGCATGGAGGGTAGTGGTAGCCGCAGCTGGAAGATCGGTGATGGTAGGCTCAGTGGGGGGCATTGAGGTTGAGATGCTGGTAGATACGGGAGCGTCGGTGACTATTATATCCCTGCACGTTTTTGTTCACAGTTGTGTGCTGTACAATTGTCCTATGTAGCAGCAAATGGGGGGGAGCATCGGGATTTTGGGACAGAGACCCAAATTCGTGTGGGAGAACTGGTCATATAAGGCCCCGTACTCATCTCCAGCGCGTTGACGGTTCCCTGTTTGCTGGGGACAAGACTATTTGAATCAACTCCCTGTCAAGATTATAGTGGGCCAGGGGTACATTGAAATGCCATCGGGGGAACATCTATTTTTTATGCCCGGACGATACCTGAACGTCAGCTCAGGTGCAGGCAGTCATGAATGAGATGCTCACGGTACCCCCAGCAGCGCAAATAATAATTCCCCTTCGATATCGCACACATCTGGTGACGGCTCGACCAGACACACCTATATTGGTCCTGGTTGGACCAGGTACCTACATTAGCACTGAATAGCTACACAAGAAAATAAGCTTCTGTGTTAAATAATGTCACATCGTGTAATTTACCATACTGCAGCCTAAATGTGCAGTGCTGCACATAACACTGAACTGTGGATGAGATACTTCTTCATCCTTGCTCTCAAGATCGCATTAAAGTTACATGGGTACAAGTCTGGCTCAACTTATCCAACAACAAATAACATTCACAATAATGCAAGTGGCAGGCTTCGTTGTTAACTCGGCCTCATATTTATCATAACAATTTAACAGCATTATAAAGGCATTTACAGAATTATAACGGCAATCCTAACATTATAACAGCATATTCTTGTTTCCCTTCTATGTGATTTTACCGAAAGAACCAAGAATATGAATCCCTGCAGTCACGAAAGCTTTAAATCAAAATTATAACAGCATTCGCAATATTATAAGAACATAAACGAACTTACAGACAATGCTTCTTAAAGTCCCACAATGAGCAGATGAACCTGTCTTCACTGAGACACTATTTGTGCCTCCATTTTGTACTCTGTGTAATGGCTGACACCCTGCCTCATGGCTGAGAGAATCTTAAATCGTAACTTCCTGGTCATGTGACCAAACTCAACACCATATCAGGAAGTTCCTGTGTAATCAACACCCCATACCTGCCATGGGGCAGGCCACCGACGATGGTATGTTCACCCCACCTGTCTAAAGCTGGACTGGTCGAAGCCTGCCACGGATGTGCCACTACACTCGGAAGAGCACCAACTACCCACATGAAAACCGGGTTGCCGCTATCACCTACACCTTCACCCCTTCACTCACCATTACTACTGTGGTCGGGGAAGTCACTTGCTGCGATGAACCAACCTCAAAAAGGATGCCTTGCTTTCCCAGGACCGCCCGTGACCGAGGAGGTGCAGTAGAATCCGACGGAGCCACAGCTACACAGCCCGGTTACCTGGGCACGGTCCCGGGTGATGCTTCCACAGTGATAGACAACCACCGCATGCAAGACCACGGGACCGGGGATAAAAATGACACTGTCCTTGTTTCACTCTGGAGGTTGTTCGTCAGTTGTTCACATGTTACGGTTGGAAGGTCCGATTGACCCCTTGTATGTACCATCTTGTCTTACGATTATTCGTTTGTTGATGTCTTAAATTCTGTTCTGTATACCCATGCATTCCACATCTAAATACACAAAGTGACAGGACTCTGGTTGAGTTCGAAATTGCATGTTTATTGACCAAAATAAGTTTTTTTCTTCTCCTCTACCATCAGAGTTACCCCGAATGCCTTGGATTTGTACGGGTTATGTTTAGTCAAGGACGACTTTCTCTTCAGAGGGGGGGGTGGGGTGATGTAGTGCTAATACTTACATGATCCGAGGGTAGATATATTCATGTGATCCAAAGTTACAGTGTCAGCATGACGTCACGATGAAAGGAGAGAGAAGGCAGGGCGAGAGACAGAGATAACGCCCAGCGAGAGAGAGGTGACATCACCGGGAGAGGCCGGACGATTGGGGCGCTTCTTGGAGGGACTCGGAGTAGGGTGGACGCGTGCGGCGTGAGCTCGCGAGAAATAAAGAAAAGTGTGGCCCTTTTGACTTTGTCTGGTGAACTCACTACATGGGGTAATGTTTGTATTTTAATGGATTGTCACTCAATGTTTAATTTGTTTAAATAGAAAATGTCATAGCAGTGGAGGTTTTAGACGTCTTTGTAGCTGGTTTGTGTCACTGATGAAGTAAAAGTTTGCCATCTTTAGAAGTTCACCAGAATAAAGTCCAACAAAATATAATTTAAAATATTTGCATTTATTTTATGTAACCAAAAAATAGTATATAGACAGTTCCAGTTATGTGATATTCATATACGAAGATGAATGTTTATGTTTTTACAGTAAAGCTTATTTTCTCTCAACGTGCATCCAAACTTAACTACAGTGTGAAGAATAATTAATACACTCGCTAAGAACAATATTTTTCTCTTCCTATTTGTATTATTTTCAGCACATTAGCAATTATATTTATTGCATTGAAATGTATTCCACTCCTATCAGTTCATTGTTCTGTTTAAAGTAAAATATGGTGATTTGTTATGCTTATAAAACAGTGTTTTTGAAGCAATGTTCACTTAGACATCCTCAGCTCTGCACTGTGAGCGCACACACATATCAAATGAGCACAATAAATAGAATAATTTCCTTCCAAAGACAACCAGGGGGAAATTATGTTACATGACACCACATGGGCATTTTCCTTCTTGGTAGGAGCACGGCACAAGGCGACGCTCGAGGGCAAGGATGTGAGGGCTTCAGGAAGACCTTTTCCGCGCCACATGGGCCGAAACAAAGCAGCCAAGGCAACCGGCAGCATGCCGGGCACCCCCACCAAGAACTTCCAGTGCCAGCTTTGCGATGTAAAGGTCAACTCGGAGGTGCAATTACAGCAGGTGACCACCTGTGAGAATGTGCATTCAACCAGCGTGGGTATCAGTGGCGCAATGGTATGCATGCTGTGCTAGCATTCTGGGTACCTGGGTTCAATTCCCCGCCATTAGTTACTACACGTTACATACCAGCGCTACCAGTGATGCTCACCACATGTCACCCTCTTGCGTTGTCCTAGCCTTAGTCCAGTCATCCATCAGTGTCAGCTCCGGGTTTGGATGTCACTGGTCAATGAGTGGACGCAGCTCGATATACTCCCCATGTTGAGCTGGGTCTACTCCTTAATGTTATCCCACCACCACCATTACATCCATCTTTGTCTTCCTCTTGGCCTTCTGCCTTCAAATTTCCAAAAGAGAATAAAGTGTGGCAGTCGGGCTCCCTGTGAGCCTCGCACTACATGGGCGCAATATGCCAACCCCCTTTGACTGACTTAGTCCAGCATTGTTCTTTAGCAACATCCCATTTCGGATGAGTACGGTTGGCAACGTACCATGCGAAAGATATTAAAAATACATACATTATGTCTTACATTCCTTGTTATTTTTTTTAATCCATTCTACGCTTATCATCCGCAGCCTTAGTTGGTGTTCACAAACAGCACTTGCCCCAATCGTCTATACAGATTTATTCTGGATGTTTGTCCTTTTTTTCATCAATTGTTTCTACATAATGTGGCATCGGTGTGTTTCTGTCATGTTTGAAGATTGGAAAACTACTTACATACTCATAAACACTGCACTCTCTGGGAACACAGAACCAAATACCCAGCATAATCCTGCAATGAACAATAAAATGTAGATAATGAGCCAAACAATGTGTGATCATTATTACAATAATGCTCATCATAATGTATAGCTATGCCTGGTGTTCATTAAGAACTATTACGCGGAATTATGTGAGCACTGAATTAATTTACATTGAGGCGATTGTTTTCATTTTCCTTAAGAGATAAACTATGTTGTTATTTTTGGGAGAATAAATTATTGTTATACTCATTTCAAACACGATTAAATGTAACCGTTAAGGACTTATAACCAAATACAACCAAACATGTGCTTGTTATAATTGCATATTAACCATTCGGTGCGTTTCTGCATTTGAAAACATAACCTCTTTATTTAATTTGCCTGCAATCTCTGCTGCATTGTTTGGTTTGTAGCTGTATTATGCTGCGTCGCTTTTCTCCCGCAGCACATAAAGAGTCGAAGGCATAAGGACAAGCTGACGGGAAAGGCTTCCAAGTCCAAATTTAGTCCATACAACAAAGCTCAGCGTGCAAGTAACAGGAGTTCCCTGCTCGTGAGTATGCCATGGGGAGTGATGCTTGCAATTCGTGTTTTTGTAATGACAGCATGCGTGCTTTTTTGTGGCTACTAAAAATCTCTAATAATAACAGAATAATTACTCCAGGTACACAAAGCCGAAACATTATCCACCAAAGCACAACACTTAAAATATATATTTGGTCGAATATATTGTAATTTACAAAGCATTGGTAGCTTATGCGAAAAAAAAGGTGAATTACATTGATTCGTTCGGACAAAGAACCCTTAATTAATATTGATTCCTGATATTTAGAGCTGTGCAGTAATTAGCCTGTGTGCCATATGCAGAAGGTACGACATGCACAGTGAATGGGAAAAAAAGACTTTCAGCACTTGTTTTACATACACGTTTCACATAGAAATTAAGTGTTACATGGAAACGTTTTACAATCGCTGTAATTGCTGATTACTATGGTTGCTCAAGAGCAACATGTAGCTGGACTCTAATTTCATTACTGTAACTCGTGCATGGCTCGTACATTTATATTCATTAAGCCTACATGCTCTGATCATTATTCTTTTAAAACATATGAATATATTTGTCCTGAAAAGAACCCTTATTTTTAGAACATAAATTTTGTGCTTTAACAAAAAGCAGTTCATTACGCAAATAATACACTGTGAAGATATTTTCTTTTAAACTAGGCACAAATTTTACAATAATCTACATTTATGAATCTGAAATTTGACAGGCTGGCATTGTAACTTGTTAAATAATCGATTTGATTTTCACGTTGACGATTGCCACTGTATGTGAATTTTAATCTCAATGTGTGGGCTGTGCTGGCGCAGGCCTGCGATCTGCCACCTTGATGGTGGGATAAGCCGATCGTGCAGAGATCACGGTACCCAACCAGTTAAGGCTTTACACGGGGGGAAAGTAACCTCTGATAGTTTGTTCACGAAGCCATCCAGATATATAAACATAGACATAACTTCAACCTCTTTGGTTCTATTCGGTAAAGTTACGTAGGTAAAAAATAAAATAACAAAAATCACGACGTTTCAGCCACAACACAAGTGACCTTCATCAGGTGAAGGGACCGTGCTGTCATGAGGACAGCGTTGGAGTGAAAACAGCCAAGCCCAGGTCGCGTTCTTTAAGCTGTGTGGGAGGAAGCAAAACGCTTGACAAAGGAATTAGCATAAACATGAGCACGATGTACGTAGGAGGTGCATGGGCCATGATGGACCAGGGGCGGGTGGGGACCATGACGGACCAGCAGCGGGGGGGGAGTAGAGTGAGTGAGTGAGTGGAGTGAGTGAGTGGAGTGAGTGGAGTGAGTGGTCCATCATGGCCCATGCACCTCCTACGTACATCGTGCTCATTTTTATGCTAATTCCTTTGTCAAGCGTTTTGCTTCCTCCCACACAGCTTAAAGGACGCGACCTGGGCTTGGCTGTTTTCACTACAATGCTGTCCTCATGACAGCACGGTCCCTTCACCTAGTGGTATCCCAAACTTTCACAGCTGCTTACTTCTCTCCACTCACTCACTCCACTCACTCCACTCACTCACTCCACTCACTCACTCCACTCACTCACTCCACTTACTCCACTCACTCACTCCACCCACCCACTCACTCCACTCACTCCACTCACTCCACTCACTCACTCAACTCACTCAACTCACTCAACTCACTCACTCCACTCACTCTACTCCCCCCCCCCCCCCCCCCCCCCCCCCCCCCCCCCCCCTCCCCCCCCACCACTGCTGGTCCGTCATGGTCCCCACCCGCTCCTGGTCCATCATGGCCCATGCACCTCCTACGTACATCGTGCTCATTTTTATGCTAATTCCTTTGTCAAGCGTTTTGCTTCCTCCCACACAGCTTAAAGGACGCGACCTGGGCTCGGCTGTTTTCACTCCAACGCTGTCCTCATGACAGCACGGTCCCTTCACCTGATGAAGGCCACTTGTGTTGTGGCCGAAACGTCGTGTATTTTGTTATTTTATTTTTTACCTACGTGACTTTACCGAATATAACCAAAGAGTATGGATCCTTGCAGTCACGAAAGCTTCAAATCTAGAATAACTTCAACCAAGAAGATGGATACAAATTGAGCAATCATTAGAAGGATGTTATTAACCAGGTAAAGCCTTAACTGGTTGTGGTTGTTTCCATCATGCCCGCCGGGTACTAGTCTATTTTTCTGAGTAACTTTCCCCCCGTGTCCCACACTCAGCTTCCCACTTCTGGCCCCGCCTACTTCCCCCCCAGCCTCGCTCACGCAGCTCCCCTTCCCCTGCTCCCCCCCCCTCTCTCTCTCCCCCCTTTCTTACCTATATAACCTCTTGCCACGGCAGCTCTCTCGCCTACTTCAGCATTTTTTCTTGCTATGGTTGTTTCACCTGATGAAGATTGGTTGTGTTGCGATCAAAACGTCGTGATTTTATTTATTTTATTTCTACCTACGTGACTTTACCGAAAGAACCAAAGAGTATGGATTCCTGCAGTCACAAAAGCTTCATAACAATTCAAAGCCAAGCTTGAAGTCTAGAACAAGTCGAGAACAAGTCTAGACTATTTCCATAACGATCAAAAACAACATTTGGGTCCTTTACCTGTGAGATGCAACAGTACGTGTGTCACACACAGCAATTATTGAACCGAGTCGCCATTAACCCTGTGACTGCTGTACAAGTGCGGTTATTCAATAACCCTGCCAGCCACCTACAGGCCCAACTCAGTCATCACATGCTGCTGTACACCAATGCATTAATGCACTGCACAGCACATCAGGACTTTCACAGAACCACACTTTACTCCCTTGCTGCACAAGGAAATAATTAAAAGAGTGGTCCATTCCTAATGTGCCACAGAAGTATAAATGTGTCGCAACCCTCCTCAACCCGACACGGCCAATCAGTAAGAAATGTGTCACGTTAACAAAACGCCAATTAGTTACTTCTTCAGCCCACCGGTGTGTTTGAAGAGTGAATCCACAACATTTACAATTTGAGTTTTGTTAACGTGACACATTTCTTACTGATTGGCCGTATCAGGTGGTGGAGGGTTGCAACACATTACGCGATCAAACCCAAAAACCTTTATTATGAATAATACTGGTCGTGAAAACCTACGTGTTAAACTAGGTACGTTATTGTTTGTTTTTCATCTTATCGCTCAACCGCGATGGTTTCTACAAACAGTTACTGGATCATGTGTGTGGTGTTACATCCCCTCGCAGGCTAAACTGACTTTCCGCAAAGAGCTGCTGAACTCGCTGGGGTTAAGCTTTCTGCAATCTCCCCTCTCGGCGGCCGCTGCCGCCTTCCAGGCCACCAATGTCCACTACACGGTGGGGCTGCTCAGAGCGCGATTTGCCGCTCACAGATGAACCACAGCATTGCTGTGCCAACACTGAAACTGTGACATTCGACGTTTTATTTAAATGCTAGAAGTACTATGAACAGTCAGACGTGGCTGTATGTATACACGCCAATGGGCGGCATGAGATCAATAGTATTAATAGTAATGTTCAGACCTTTATCAAGCCACTTCTGGATGACATTTTGTCTTGAGGGTTTTTTGACCATACTTCACCACACTGGTCAGTGGTGTGGCTGCAAAACAAACCCGTGTTGTCGGGCTCATAGCGCAGTGTGCTATGAACCCGACAAGTAACCACCCTCCTCACCCCCCGCACGATCGCAAGTGTTGGCTTAATACATGAGTTATAACTCAATTTGATATTTTACCATAACCAATCACAGGCACTGTTCTCCGTGCATGTTAGCTAAGTGCTGTACATTGTTTACATCTTGTGGCATGTGTATAAGCCGCAAGTGCTTGCGTTTGTGCACTTGGTGAATACGTTTTCATAACAGCATGCTGACACTTTATAGATTGTTGTGAATTTTGCAGTGTGCTTCTATTTTTACACATATGCATGGACCGGACTGTCCAGAGGACAGCGTTGGAGTGAAAACAGCCAAGCCCAGGTCGCGTCCTTTAAGCTGTGTGGGAGGAAACAAAAGGGCCTTGACAAAGGAATTAGCATAAAAATGAACATGATGTACGTAGGAGGTACATGATGGACCGGCGCGGGGGGGGGGGGGGGAGTTTACATAATGTTGGTGTGAAGGGAAAATAAGCAGCTGTGAAAGTTTGGGATACCACTACTTGAAAAAATATACTGTTTGGTTTGATCTAGAACATCTCTCCAATGATTGCTTAATTTGAAACCATCCTCTCGGTTGAAATTGTGTCTGTGTTTGTAAATCTGAATTGCCTCGTGGACAAATCTCTCAAAAACCCGTGGGTTTGCAGAGAACCTTGGTATCAGAGAAAAGTATATCGTGATCATCCACAGCGTTGTAATAGTGATCAGCTACGGCAGAATAATTCGTTCTGCCGTGTTTCAAATCTTATTTGTGCTTGCGAATTCGGTCAGAGACATGTCGCTTCGTCTCCCCGATATAGCAGTCACCACAGGTGCAGCTCAATTTGTAAACCCCGGGGTACTGTAAGTCAGGAATGGCATCCTTCACGGATGGGATCAGGTCACGGATTTTGTGTACTGTATTGAACCGGACCAGGATCTTGTGTTTGTTTAGAATTTTGGAGATCTTTTTAGTAACGCCTGCTATATATGGCAGTGTGATGATTTTGATCGGAGTATCAAGTGGTTGTTTCTGTATGGAGGGAGAAACAGCTTGGCGGATGGTACGGTCAGAGTATCCGTTCCTCTTGAGGGCCAGATGTACATGTTTTAATTCACTGGTCAGGTGGTGTTGGTCCAAAATGCAATGAGCCCTGTGGTATAACGTTTTGATGAGAGAAACTAATTTTCAATGGTACAGTATATTTTTTCAAGTAGTGGTATCCCAAACTTTCACAGCTGCTTATTTTCCCTTCACACCAACATTATGTAAACTCCCCCCCCCCCACGCGCCGGTCCATCATGTACCTCCTACGTACATCATGTTCATTTTTATGCTAATTCCTTTGTCAAGGCGCTTTTGTTTCCTCCCACACAGCTTAAAGGACGCGACCTGGGCTTGGCTATTTTCACTCCAACGCTGTCCTCTGGACAGTCCGGTCCCTTCACCTGATGAAGGCCACTTGTGTTGTGGCCGAAACGTCGTGATTTTTTGTTGTTTAATTTTTTACCTACGTGACTTTACCGAATAGAACCAAAGAGTATGGATCCTTGCAGTCACGAAAGCTTCAAATCTAGAATTGTTAGAAGTTACTTTGCGTATTGGACACTAATTAGTTGTTATTGTCTGTGTGTGTGTATATATATTATTGAATATATACGAGGGAGGGATTGAAAAATCTGTGGCCCACATTTCATGAGAGTTGAAGCAGCGCTCTCTAACATGTGGACCCCAGGCATTTGTGAAAAATGTATTTATCGCTTCCCTACTCTCACCGCTGTCTGTACTTGAACCCTGATGCCAGCTCTCCTTCCAAGCCCGACCAGCCTCCTGCCATCAGTCTCTCACTTCCCCAGTTTCCCTTTTTGGCCAGCCATCAAATAAAGATGGAGACGTCTTCATGTCCATCGTTCTGGGCATATCAACCCCCGAGTTCACTTAGAAATTCATTATATAATATTTAATTGCAGCCACTGGACTGCACATACAGTACATGCTTTACAGTTCGGAAATACTACATATTTTGGTCACTGCATCGCGCACTTTCAGATGCGCTTCTGCAGCCATCTGAAACTCTCTTCCTTCCGATATTAGAAAGCCACCGGAGCTATGCACTTTAAAATCTAGAATGAAAACGAATTTCTTTAGAATTGCTTTTTGTGTTTAGGTTATTGTCCTTCCCCCGCAACTCCGGTTAGCACGGTTGGCTACGTATGGTGAAATATAAGTTAAACATACATACATGTAGACTTGCTAACAGTGCAAGTGTGTAGCATTACCACGTGAGGATGCTTGTGAGTATCGGGAAGAAACATTTACTAACATTTCAGACAATTTTTATGTACTGTGTACGGTGGTTTAACGGCATTAATGTAGTGAGGCTTTATAGCAAATCTGGGTGAAGCGATATGAAATGTGAGTTTTACTCAGTGACAAATATAGCTTGAACTTTGAGCCGACAGGGATTAGAGACGAGTATTAGGCAGCCCACAGCAGGAGAGCCAGTCACTTTTCGTCCTAATGAGCATTCATCATCTGGGCAGGGTAGCCTAACTTTTGCTTGTCGGTGGGTCAAACTTACCTCGAAAGAAAGAAAAATTACACTGCATACCCACGTATGGCACGTTGCTGAGCTTAGTGAGCTTTTCTTCTGCAGGCAAAGCTGGACTTCCACAAGGACCTGACCAGGTTACCATCCGCCATGACAACAACAGGTTACCTGCCGTCACCCCTGGCGGCTGCCACTGCTGCAGTCGCCATGAGATCGCCGCTGACTTTCCACGCGGCGCCCGCCGCCACCGCCAGCCTCTTCCCAAGCCACGGTTTGGCACAAGCCCTGCTGAGGTCAGCCCCGGGGCCCATGCGGAATTCTCACGGGCCAATAATTTTCACCCCCTATTGATCCTAATTCGTCTTGACCGAGGTCGGCTCATGCTCTGCTCATTCCGGTGGACCGCCTTTCTCTTCTTGTTTGAGAATCCGAGGATTTGGTTCCCCGTACGGCGTCGCAAATGGCACTCTACGTACAGCAGTGCGACTGGCATCTTGCTCCCACGGGTCACAGCCAATGGCTATCCCTGACGTTCAGAACACATGAGAAAAATGCAACTTGTGGAGAGTGGAACTTTTGAATTGTATGCTCCTTTGGTCCTACAACCCTTAAATCTTACTAGAGATTAACATATCTATAGGCTGCAATGCAGCATGGAGGTCTGTCTGCTGTGTGCAAAGTGGTGGTGCGTGGCACAGCGTGTGCGTAGGACTGATCCGTGGACGGAGATCACAAGGAGCCATGAGGATTTATCTTGGGTGTGCCCTGCTCAGATATGTCTGCTTCTGTCAATATGCCAACTGATCCCGGGACTTCTTATAGAGCTGCACAACGAGTGTGTTGTCCCATCACACAAAACGACTGCTGTTTTGTTTTCTGCTGAAATCTACTTGTGCAAAATTTGAATATGATCTGCATAGCTGTGTGTCGCCGACTGTACCATTTGCAAGACTGTGGCGAAAAGATATCCATGTTTACAGTTTTTCACAGCTTCTCATGCAACCTTATATGATGTCTCTGTGATTCTATTGTACTGTGTTGTAAAAAAATACTCGAGCTTTCCTGCCATACCAAATGACCTATTACAACGAAGCTGTGCTACTATGGCGGCTGGCAGATGACCCGCAAGACAAGGTGACATTGCATATCCATCAAAACATTCTCAAATTTGCAACATGCACTAAGAGCATGAAATGACAGTGAACCCATGGGAAAGTGAATATACGCTGCAAATTACGACAATGTATATACAGTACTCCAGTGTACCTCAAGGGAAGTTCTATGCTGAAAATATATTCATTCAATTTCTGGAACATGTTGCTGAATATAAATGTAATGGAAAATACTGTTTAAATTCGGCATTGTATGATATGACAATAACACAGAGGTATTGTTAAATCGTCCAGTCATTGAGAACAAATTCATCAAATTGGCCACTTCATCGGGCCATGACGGGAAAATTAATGTGTGTAGAGACCCACACAACAAGCGGTGGTGGCTCCTGGTTTGTCTCAGAATACTCGATCTGAGTGTAAAACTGCATTGGCAAAAGCACACTAAGAAATGTCCAGAATGACTTCGCTTCTGAAGTCATAAAGAAATGCAAGGTGTTCTGCTATTCTATTAATCTCCTAACGTTATTTGGCGTTGCTTATTTGTCTGCTATGAGTCGCTACGTGTTGCATACATTTGGTAATGGAGCAGATGCATTTCTTGACAGACTTTCACCATTACTTTTGTCAACAATAATATGTGTAATATAGAATTTCAACATAATGTGCATTTAATTTGTATTGGCAAAACAATGGAATATTCGAACCATATAAATTATAAATTGGAATGGCATGTACTTCTATGTGTTGCGAGCAACGTGAACGTATATTGGGCATTTGCATCATCAAATCTCACTGGAATAAGTCGGTGCTTTGCTCAGTCACTGCAATAAATAACGTGTCATTTTTATTTCCATAATCTGTCTGCGTCTTATTTTGTCTCGTGCTTTCCCATCTCGTGATGTTTCTTTTATTTTGTCAATGAGCATACATTAAATAATGTGCCATCATTGTCGACACAAATCCACATCTACCAAGGTAAAACTCAGAAGTATGAATTTGCGTTGACCGTATTTAAATTTTGCAAGGCTTTGCTCTATTAACTTCGAGAGTTTGTGCAGCTTTTTAGCATAGATGTCACATCGTTTAACATTTAGTACAGCTAAAATACATATTACCCGACTTTTATTGTCACTTGCAAAGATAACTTATAGTATGGCGCACGTAAAATGTAAATGTTTGCTCCATGTACATTTTCTATTTTGAACATGAAGCGATGTTTTTATTTTTATAATTTTCCTTGCTAAAGAATAGTTATTTGATGGAGTTTGGATGTTTTGTTTATTCAGCTTTTTGCCAGGAATTTAAGTTTAGCCACGGTACACATTATTACATATTTTATTCAGTTCATTTATTTTACAGGTAAAATATGAAACAATCTCATTCTTTAATGACCAAAAGAAACCACTGAAATCCTACTACAAATGTAGATGTAACATTTTTAAAGCAGCACAATGTAATGTGTGCTTATTAAAATACGTTGTTGTATATCAAAAGCAGTAATGAATGATTATATTATACATGACGATGCATTCAGCATGTTTCCAACAATTTAATTATATTGTTATTAGCTGTAACTTTACACACGAGTACTGCTAATCTGCTTTGGGGTAAATATTTTTTTTCCAATGCAATAGGGTTTTTGTTATAATTACAAGACGCCACTGGCGTGTGTGATATTAATCAAATTGTGTTTACGCTGAGCTGTTTGTTTTTGCCTTCATCGTACGGTTTTTGCAAAACAAAACAAGCCGTTCTCTAAGTAAATGAAACAGAAAATCAATTGTATAGAAAAAAATATGTAAATGCAATCTGATCTTTCGATATCCAAGGGTAATGTCTCCCAGGAGGGCAGTGAACGCATTTTGTAAATGAACCCCGCCCTTAAATCGATGTTGTTGAACAGGCGAAAGGCTTTTTTTTTGTAACAGCACCTGGCTCGGTTGTGTACTGCGAGGATTTGCGTTTCGGGACAGTCCAGATGTTCGAGATTATATGCTGACAAAAGCCCATTACTGTATTGTACCTTTCATTATGACATCATGTGCAACTTATTATTGGTGAAGATGCAATATCTAATTTTTTTTTTATAAGATACCATTATGCAAATAGGCAATATGTTTTTTTTTACAACCACAACATGCTAGTGTTAATAATATTAGATCGCAGTTTGAATAAATTAATCATTAAAGTTTCTTCATATATATTTCTTTCGGTGAAATGATAGCCACTTTATAAAAAATCAGGAACAATTAATGACACATTTTACGATTCATGTGCATTCTATGAATTCTCATCACAATTATGAGGTGGGATGTGATCCACTAACCATTGCCTGCACATTGATGGATTGCAGGTTTTATGTAAACACCACAGCAGGCAACCCATTTCAAGCTGAGTCGATCTAGAAGAAGCTTAGCACAGGTTCTGACACCACATTCCACTGATGAATGTGTGCTGTGCCAAGTAATATATAGACACAGGCATACACAAAGATACAAAGAAAAAACGCTTTTCGTCATACAGACTTGGGGCAAATAATGTTAGCGAGCACCTGCTATGGCCGGAACGAGAGGTTGGTATGGCCTGAAATATTCCCGGCCACCTTTGTCTCCCCAACACTGATGTTTAAACATCCACGCCAGTTTCGTATTTGAGGCTGAATTGACCTAGGGGAGGACCGGACTAACTGAGGATAATCACAACTGATGTTAGGCATAGCTGAGAATCGAAAGGAGTGAGTCTGAGATAGATGGAGCCAGAGTATGTCAGCAAGGTGAGCATGCTCACATCAGCACTCACGGCTCTCGCAAGCTACTGATTGTATTCATGTGGCTGTGCAAAATGCGACTCCACCCATTTCGCATTTCAAAATGGCCCAATACTGTTCAATAATTAAGAATCACAAAAAGGTTATCCAGTTGACATCGACATTTTGAAAGAAAGTGTGAAAGTGTTTTGAAAGAAAGTGTCTACTTGAATTGGGCCCTGTGTTTACATAAATGTTAGCACACAAGACCTTGTTGACATTACATATCTGATACCAGGCTAAATAATCCAGAGGTCAATTTAACAACTATTAAAACTGTGATCGTCAAAACAACGGGTGTTTATGCATGTATGGTCATTTTATGTGAGTGTTTAACGACCTCATATGAGCGAAACACGGTAAAACACGATCAGCAATTTAAACTATACATTTCAAGGCCTGTATATTATACACAATCTGGGCAAAAGAATCTTCCTCCATCACTCATTTAAAATACAATACACTTTCACACCAATCAGTGGGACTTCCTATACACACAAAACATACAAACTTCATAGAAGCAGGCTTGCCACGAAATAGGTGTCACATTTAGATGCATTTGACAGAGAATGTAGGCATGGAAGCAAGCAAAGATGAAATCACACCTGATTCTTACCTACAAGGATATATATATTTTTAAAGCTATACTTAGTGAATTACAGTAAAATAAATGTTCGTCATATTTAGCGAAGCACAATGGGGGGGGGGACAAGGTTATGTGTTTCAAAACATACTTGTTAATGTACCAAAAATCTAATCGTTCTAGTAAAATGTTCTTTAAATGACCCAAATAAGTGGAAGACATTTCCCTCCCCTAAGTAAATTGTGCAATTTTCGTTTGAAATCCACGTGACAGCTCTGGCGGTCCTCGCATGGCCAAATTGGTTGCTGCTTCCTGCTGTTCACTTGACAGACGAAAGCGTCTGCTGTTGCTGTACTGAATCCTGGCTTTCAGCGTGTGTGCTATTAATAACACACCTACGCGGCTAATGTGCCATAAAGTGCCTGTGCGCGACACATGCTGCACATTGAAATGCTCCATTCCTCTCATGTTGCGGTTATTACAATGGGAATTATGTGCAGTGTTCATGTCTAGGGGATGAGATTTGAGAGTTATTCCTCTTTATGCTTTCTGCTCCTCAACACGCCTCTTTTGTTCAAACAGAAAGGACAGGGCGATAGAATGTCATTGCCTAATTCCGCTCCACCATATGCAATCCTGTAGGGTAGCTGGTACTGCAGTGCAAGGCAGTGTTGCAACCTTTTTCGGCGATCCCTCGCAGTCCAGGATGATTGTCTTCCGTGAATGTTTTGGCTGACGAGGCCAATCCGGGATTGTCAGACTCTGTCGCAGCTCGGGTGCGTGTTTCCGAGCAGGGATTGGTGGCCCAAGGTTGTTGATTCGGTCCTGCTGTTCCCACTTTTCCTCCCATTGTCGTAGGGTTTCTCATAGAAAGCTGACATCGACAATGACATTCGACATCGCCTCAAATATGCAAGCACAGCCTTCAGTTGCTTGAGGAAACGGGTAGAACAGGTGTTCAAAGATCACGACAACCACCCAAGCAGTGATGAGAAAAAATAAGCGTTGTTGTGAAAGGGCATTTGTGGTGCCACGACCGCGGAGCAACTCCGCAAGCGCCGCGATTCTCTCCCAGCCCCCGTACTAAACACACACCCGCACGCATTCCACCCACGTAGTGTCCTGACGAGGGATTGCCTGGCACATCGGGTTTTAATCCAAAGGGCCCGTCGAGGGAGAGTCCCACGGTTTCCCGGTGCCAGGATATTGGCCAACCCTCACAGGACAGATTACATTGCGGTGCCCCTAAATTGGCTTAAAATTGCATGGGCGCAGAAAGAAAAGGTTCCCTGGGCCAACTGCAATGAGGTACAGCTCAAAGGGGAGAACGGAGGACGGAACATTGAGCAAGAAGGGCACAAGAGCCCTTCCAGACAAAGGGACAATGGGTGGTCGCCGCCGCCCGCCGGCCCCAGCCACCACTGCAACGCAGCACTCGAGGGGGGATGGAGGGTGGCATATTAAGTAGGCAAAAGTACGGGTGCCCTTCCAGTCAAAAGGGGATGGGGGGGGGGGGTGACCGCAGGTAAGCGAACGATTGGCCGCGTGGTACAATGGCACCCCGGGCCTTTGAAGTTAAGAGAATAAAAAGAGCAGCCCGGGACGATTTCAGGCAGTTGTCTTCAACCTCCGGGCCATCAAGACCCACTCCCTGCCGTCCTGCCTCCTCGAGGCACTCGCAGCATCCGTATGATGCCAGCGAGTCCTGCTACAAGGCAGTGATAGGTGAGGTTTTCGCTCGTCCTCCCTCCGAATCTCGCAACGTACATGCGACGCCGTGAGTACAGCAACGAGGTAAGTGGTAGGACGTTTGAGTGACTGGGTTCATAGGCAGAGTTAGGCTGAGCTCTTCTCGTGAAATATTCCCCCTCCAGGTAGAGTGTATTTGTGCCATTAATACACTTTAGTACAGAGTATCGGTGCAGTGTGATTTCTGTGTGTGTGGGTAGAACCTCGGCATGGTGTCTGCGATTTGTGTGTGGTGCGACTGCGCGGGGAGACGGTGTGTGCAAGAGAGCGAGCGCAGGGCTACAGCGTCGGTGTGGAGTTGGTAATTTGAGTGTGTGTGCGAGGCGCGCGCGTGTATAAAAACTTAGACAGCCGCCGACGCGCCCGCGTCCAAGCAGCCATGCCGCGCGAGTATTAGGGCGGGGGTGAGGTACGTTAAACCCGCTCGCGAATGCTCGCGCATGTTTATGCAGCAACAATAGCATTAATGGCGAGGCGCACGTGCAAATTTGCGCAGCCCTTTAGCGCTAGCCTTTGTGTGCAAGCAGATTAGGGCTTAATCACCCGGAGGTGCGCGCGCATATTCATACCATCGTTTTTAGCGCTAGACTTTGTGCAAAATAAGCGCCTGCAGGGGCGCGCGCGTGCACGCCACCGCGTTCGCTTTTGTGGTGGTGCACGTGGGCGTGTGCTAGCAGTGGTGAGCCAGCCAGTTAGCTATGTCCCTCAGAGATGGCGCTGGTGCGGGGGGGCCGATCACCCGATCGGCCAGGGCCTGGCGAGAGGCGGCCGACAGGGAGGAGCGGGGAGGCGCGACGTCCACCCCCACACATTCCTCTCCATCCCCCTTACTACAACCATCCACCCTTCGGGGATCCCAGGAATCTCCGTCTGTTTAGAACACATCATAGAGACTATTTTTAAAAGCCTGGACTTTTGTGTCAGTCTCCAGGGATCTCTCCAACTCGAGAAGATGTACCAACGAAATATATATTCTGTACCCCATACAAGTTACTGTAATATTGCATTAAAACACTTTAAAGCCGCTATGAAAAACAAAAGTCGAAATCACGTTAGTTGAAAGCAACGTAAGCAGTTATCTTTCATGGGCCAATATCAGTACTATTTTCTGGAAGTTAACATTGTCCTATGGATAGCCTTGGTCCCTGCCATGAGAATGTGGAATCTCTACCAACGGCTCTGGACCTCCAATAGAGATAAGCATTTCTTATTCGAGGAACGAAACACGTAAACACTATGTACAATACAAGATAAAACTGGTGAACAAATTGTTAAACTTACAAGCAACATCACGCTTTCT